CAACAAGGGGGTCATGATGCTGCGTTGCACTTTTTGCAACAAAGTATTTAAGGGGAGCCAATTCCAGACGACGAGGCATTTCACGCAGACGAACTACTACAAGGACGTCAGCGACGAGGCTTTGTACGAGATCGCGCGACGGAGTTAACAGAAGTTCGAGAGTGATCAAATGGAGAGGGTTGCCAGGTACGCGGCGGAGCGCGGAGTCGATGTGCCTGGCACAGGTGGTGTGAGGGGAGGAGAGGCAGGGCGGCAGCCCTTGGAGGGAGCGTCTGGAGGGGTCGGGGGAGATGGTGGAGGTGGAGACATGGAGGAGGGCGCGATTGGCGTTGATCGCGAGGCGCGTGTCCCGGGTGAGCAAGGAGTCCCGGGACACGAGGACGTGCCTGAGGTTTATCCAGGCACTGGGGAGAGGATGGAGGACTTTTTGAGGCGAGCAGCCAAGGGACCTGTAGGGGAGGGTTCTTCCAAGAGGAAGGAAGGTGGAACAGATCCGGCCGCCGCCCCAGCTGGGAAGAGGCTTCGCCAGCAGAAGGTCGCTGACGTCTACGGTGGCGAGTGGGTTGCTCGCCACAAGAAGACATTCCTTCGCTGGCTCTATTCCAGCGGGGTCCCCTTCAATGCCTTCCGCAACCAGGCTTGGAAGGCATACCAGCAGGTCCTTCTTGAGCAGCCTGGCAGTTCCCCGCGCGCTGTGCTCCCCAGCCACAGCGAGATTGCGAGTATGCAGGCGGTGGAGACCCACCGTGAGTAGCTGGCGGAGGAGTTGGAGGAGGTGAGGCAGCCATTCTGTATCACTAGTGCCACCCTCCTCTTCGACGGGAGGAAATCACGAGACGGGAGACCGATCGTGATTTTCCTTGCCGCCGGCTCACGAGGGGTCGTCGTTTACACGACGATCAATCGCGAGGGCGAGCCGGACGATGCAGTGCCCGTCCTTCGGAGATGGGTGACCATCTTCCACGAGTTTAGTTTCGGCAGCCCGCAGCGGGTCAATGCGATATGCACAGACTCCGCATTGGCGTAGGTGGGGGCTGCGAGGGCATTGGCCTCGCCGGGCATCCCTCCTGCAATCAGGAGGATCACTTGGCTTCCGTGTTCCGTCCATGTCTGCAACAAATTGTTGTCAGACATGGGGACAAGTTGCGACGCGTTTGTGGACGCGATTACACGCGCTCGTGTTCTGGTGGTGTTTTTCAAAACCCACCACGCCGCCCTTTATTTCTTTAGGAAGCGCAACCCCAACAAGGGGCTTGTGCTTTCTTGCGAGACGCGGGTCGCGTCTGTTTATTTTATGTTGGAGAGACTGTTGGCCCTGCATGACGCTCTGCAGGCGATGATGCGAGGGGATGACGGGCGGGAGTTTGCTTCTATACCATGGTCCGCCGATGTGTGCGACATGGCGCGTTGGGTGCGCCGACAGATCAGATGGGAGCCTTGGTGGCACACGATGGCCACCATAGTCCACATCATGCAGCCCGTYATGGAGCTGCTTAGGCGGATGGATCGTGGGGGRCAGTACATGTCCCTCATGATCGAGTGGACACAGGATCTTGTCCGCCGTGTCACTGATGCATGYGCTCCTTTGGGGAGGGTTTTCGCTGACCGCATCATCAGGCRTGTGCAGGCTCGCACACAGCACATGCTGGAGCCTGCTCACTGCGCGGGGTTCTTACTGAACCCCCGTAGGCGACATGTTGAGTACTTTTCGGGCGAGGTGAGGGATTACCCTCGTTGGCTTGTAAGGCAAGCCAAGAGGTACATTTTGACGCAGACGGGTTACGAGGAGGATGGTGTGGAGTACATCATTGCATGTCGGCAGTTTGAGGACTTCCACATGCAGCAGGGCACATTTGGGGATTGGGGAGGGGGGGGAGGGGCGTGCTCGTGGGCGTGCTTGCAGCGGCGACAGGGAGACGATTGAGTGCACGTCCTGGTGGTCTCAGTACGGATCTGGCGCGCCTGAGTTGCAGCGCTGCGCTCTTTGTGTGATGCACATGTGGTCTTGCGCCTCTCCAGCGGAGAGGAACTGGGCAGTCCACGAGGGCATTCACACGAAGAAGCGCAACCAGTTGGCCTTTGAGAAGGTCGTTCAGCTCGTTGAGATCACCGCGAATGTGCAGTTGTCGGAGTATCGGCGGGCTGGGTGCGGTTATGTGCTGGCATGGCAGCGGGACGAGGGCATGCTAGACTGCCTGGCCGGACTGGAGTTGGAGCCAGTGCGCACGGGCACGTGCAGGGGGATGACACCGGAGGAGATTGCCCGTCAGGTTGCACTTATCACCCGTCGGGGACTCCGCACCACCCGCCGCTGAGGCCGTATTTGGTAGACGTGCTTCCATTTTCTGTCCTTACCCCAGGGAGGATGATTCCGACGAGGAGCCGATACCCGAGGCAGCGTACCACCCTGCGCTCCGCATTCCCCGTGAGATCGACGAGATGCACCTGGATCCTGAGGAGGACACCAGGGCGCATACTGCACGACGGGCGGCTGACAGGGTGGAGAGGGAGATGATGGGGGGAGAGGAGGAGTTATGGGGACCGTTCGGGGAGGTCGCTTCGACGGGCGGCAGTGGAGCGCGGGCGACGAGCCCCGCTCCGACGAGGCAGGGGTCGTCCATGCCGCCACCTTCTGCTCCGAGTCCTGCACCGCCATCGCCCGTCGCGCCATATGAGCCGACCACAGCAGCAGAGGACACGGAGGAGTTGGCGTCCTCTTTGCCTCAGCGCGGACTACTCCACAGAGGTGGGGTAGTCCGAGAGCTGAGGTTACGATCACCTTTTCCGGGGGTCTTGCAGGAGGAGGGGGGACCGTCGGCAACAATAGTGGAGGGGGAGATGGCAGTGGAGGGGGGATTGGCGGACACGACGATTGCAGGTGTGGTGGACCAAATAGCTGTAGCAGCAGCGGCTTCATTGCCAGAGGAGATGACAGCTTCAGTGTCGGCGGAGGAGGCACCAGCGCCAGGGGGAGCAGATGCAGTGGAGGGGCAGGCGAGAGCAGCTGGAGGAGCAGCGGGAGGAGCAACTGGAGGAGCAGCTGCACTGGATGGGTTTGTGGCTGCAACAGCAGGAGTAGCTGGAGGAGCAGATGCAGTGGAGGGGGGAATGCCAGGAGCAGTGGAGGAGGAGATAGGGGCACAGGCGGAGGTGTCGAGCGGGGGCGGCGACGAGCGCCTCATGCAGCAACTCCTCACGGAGCAGTACGATCCGGTCATGGCGGGTATGACCCCAGGTGTGGCGAGGGGGTTGGGGATGTCGGATTCGCAGATGGGTAGCCACCTGGACTTAGATTTGTCGATGGGCCTTCCACCTAGTTGTGGCGGGGCGACATCGACGGATCGCGCTCCATCGAGGGACGACGCGGGTGGAGAGAGTCTCACGCAGCCCCAGATAGTGACGACGACTGGGTCTCCGGATGCGGCACGCAACATCCTAGAGCGAGAGAGGGCTCGACTTATGGCATCGACTAACCCGCGTGCTCAGGCATTCGCATGGGCGTTGGAGGACGCGAGGCGTCGAGAGACAGGGGGGGATTGTGTGGAGGGTGGGGTCACTGGGGTGGTTGCGGGGGAGGACGTTGTGGAGAGAGTGGTAGCACGGGCGGACGCTGAGGCTGTGCAGGGTGGGTGAGAGGCAGCGGATGTTCATGTGGAGGGCTTGCAACAGGCAGTGGATGAGGCTGTGCAGGCAGGACGGCGCCGAGACGAGGGTGTGGGTGACGCACGATGTGTGGTCCGGGAGACAACGACGGGTCTAGTCGTTCCGTTCTCGGGCCTGCACTTGGCTCAGGGCCGACAGTCGCAGCCGGTGCCGGTGGCAGTGCATGGTGTGCCGCCGCCTGTTATTAGGGATTTGGGGTCCGAGCCGGTGGTTGCGCCACCACGTCTTCCTAGTCACTTTGTTCCGCAGGAGGTCCGCCGTCCTTTGGATGCAGACGAGTTGGCGAGAGAGGCTGTCCGCGATGTGAATCGCTTGAACCGGCGGGTCTTTAACCAAAGGCTACAACATCCACCATGGCAGGCGATCCCTCCAGTTCCATGGGGTCCTGCATCGCCGGTGTGGTCTGGGTCTACCTCCACCAGAGCACGTACGGCGGGAGATGTTCCAGGGGKTTCAGGTGGCGTTGTGGAGACGGCGCCACGTACACGAGACATGCCACCCCGTCCTCCTAGACCACTTGTAGGTGATCCGTCATCGTCGCCCACAGGCAGAGGCTCTCGATCTCCACACACGCCTGGGAGGTCTAGGATTCGGGACACTACAGCCGTTGTGGGGGACGTGAGTGACATAGCGTTGTTCGGGAGGACAAACATAGATTTGGATTCCACCTGCCGTGTCACGGAGCACACTGCACGTCTACAGCCGGGTTTGGGACCCCGTGGCGGCAGGATGACCGCAGCGAGGGAGGTGGCAGCATCAGGTTGTGAGCCTTAATGAGGTCGCTGCAGAGGAGTGTCCGCCGATAGCTTGGAGTACGCTCTGATGGCAGTGAAGCGTGCCGTACATAAGCAGACTCCACGCAAGCGCGGAGTGTTTCCTCGTCCACGCCCCGTGCCCGCAGAGGGAGGAGATGCACTTGGAGAGACTTCGGGGGCAGAGGGGTTGGGGATGCCTCGTGGATCGCACCGTGAGCAGACGGTTACAGAGGCTAGTGCGAGGGTTGTTGTGTTGAGGAAGGCAGGAGCCCCTGTCACCATCGAGGAGGATGATCCTGAGACAGATGTGGCAGTGCGGGAGGAGGACGAGGACTATGAGGGCGAGGAGGAGGGAGAGGAGGAGAGCGAGAGAGGTTCCGATGGTGACTACGACCACGACGAGCACGAGCCCTCACCTCCCCCACCGAAAGGTGCAGCCAGACGGCGTGCTGTGCAGACTTCTTCATCATCATGAGGGAGGAGGAGTTCGACATCCGACACGCGAGGGGGTACGAGGAGACAGAGCGGGAAGGGGAAGAAGTGTCGTTGACTGATCAGACCAACACTCCTTTTTCCCCTGCTCGCACTGCGGTTCGTCATGTTGTGCGGTTCTAGTTTTTTTGGTCGTCTTGTCTTGTCTTAGTGTTGTTAGGCTCTCAGTGGTTGTGTGTGTGCAGCGTGCTACAGATGTATTAGATGATGTTTCCTTTGTTTTCGGTGTGTATGATTTTGGTACCAGTATGGTGTTCGTAGAGTAGCGTTGTACCAGTAG